GTGTGTGTGTGTGTGTGTGTGGGGGGGGGGGGGGGGGGGATAAAAGCAGAAAGATGAATCTAAATCTGTGGACATTCATTGTGTTTCAGTCCACACGTCTCATCACTTCCTCTTTTATCCTCACTCCCCCGTTTTATTATCATTGAAAGATGTATTCTTTATCTCGGGKCTGATATTTTAATCATTTTACATGCATATTTCACTGTCTTGTACTTTTTTGTTTGAAAGATTTGTGCAAAAATCTATTGTTTGGGAATGTTTACATCTCATYGTGAGTTTGGCCATGTGGCAGCACAGGAAGGAAACCAGCTGACTGATTTTTATTCATTTTGACATTAGTTTTGTTACATCGTCTTTGATGCTGTAAATTAAATTTCAGCATGCTCTGCTACGTTAACTTGCATGATAAAAAATGGAATTCAGGTGTTATGATGCTGTCTGTCCGCATCTGTGACCCGCTCAATCAAAGCCGACGGACTGTCTCTCAGCTGACTGAAAACTGGCATCTGCAGTTCTGAAAGGATTCAGATCAATACCTTATTAAATTGATATACTCACTTCCATGTCGCTTCTTGTGGTCCCTGTTTGAAACTGGATCTGGCTGACATGCCTGGACACTAGACAACCTTGAMATGTCATGAATCTTTCCTTTAACCTCACAGAGTCACATTTGTTTGTATATTTAAAGGTCGCAAAGGACACAATCAAACGTAAAAAAGATTATCCTGAACTATATTGAACTTAGTTTTCCAGATGTATTGAAATGCAGGTCTGCACTTCATGTAAACAAAGCAGAATCCATTAGAAACTAGAAGCACTCGGAGAGTGCAAACCTCTGCYAAGACCAATTTCCCCCATCCTGTAAGAGTTAATGCGCAACAGCAGAGATGGAAACACATTTGCCAAATAAGTTCTAACATAGTGAACATTTAAGCAGCAGTATGCACGGGATTTCTTCTCGGTGGAGTCCAACGTGAAAAAAAAGTCAGACTCGTCACCYGACGTTATTCATCATCAAACTGGTGTCGGATTAAGCTCCTAAGTTTTCATCAGTCACATTTCACCATGTAAAACGTCTGTTTTATCTCCTTGTATGAGTTTGTAATGGTTTGACTCTCTTTATAAAGTGCTTCCTGACTCCCCCGTCTCCAAACTTTGAGGCCCAGCAGCTCTCTGTTTACAAGCCTAGTAGAAAGAAACTGTTTTGATTGGTTGTTTGGGAAATGTGGTGTGTTTGAGGAAATGGGAAAAATAGGTTTCATGGTGCAGTCACGCACTTTCTGGTCACAAAACGTTTTGTAAAAGTACATAGTATGGCAAAAATTATTCATCATTAAATCTGGTTTTAACATTACTTTTATAAAGTTTGAAGTCCGTGCTGTCCAATCCAGCTCACTGGTTTTTACAGAAKCCCTGTGAAAGCATCACAGCTTTGCCGATCTCAGAGTATTAAAAGAAAAAAAATTCCTGTATCCACATCGTGATCCGGAACATCACCAAAATTTAAAGGCTTGTTCCTTGGCCCAGTACCCACATGGGGTAAAAATGTCATGACAATCCGTCCACAAGTTTTTGAGTAATGTTGTCCACAKACAGAACGACAGACATACGTGACCGAAAACATTACCTCACCCTTGGCGGAGGTAATAGGTGGAAGCTGGAGTCATGCAATTGACCTACATTAGGCTGGCGATGCAGGTAAGAAAATATGGTAGAATCAGATAAGAGTAGAATTTTCTTTTGTGCACATCTGTCTAGTACTGCTGGGAGTGTGAATATTTTTAAGCCGTGTATTATTTATCCAGCATCTCAGTGAATATGTACCAACACATCAAAATTGTCAGACTTCTCYGCCCCAAACAGCTCTTTAATGGACGTTTCAATAATAATATCATTGCAGCTGTTTCTGTAGGAAAACAAACACGTAGTTGTTTGCATTCAGTCACAAATTTTGTTGCCAAATTTTCAATTTAAGGAGTCATCAACCAATTTAAGGAAAAATGTGTGGGTTTTAGAGAACATCAGAGTAACACAATTAACTGTATTAACCATTACAGTATTTCTTTTTACTTGTTTAAGACAACTGTTTTTAATTTTATTTGTCAAATATTTGAAGATATATTACTAAAATTAACTTAGGAAACCACATTTTTGGAGTATATTGACTTTGGGAGTTTTTAGATGAGATTACTTCTGTACTGTGTACATGGCACAAAATACTTCAAATAAAAAACCCTGTATGTATTTATGTATTAAAGGGCCAATATTATGTGTTTTTCAGGCATATATTTAAATACTATACCATAAAAAAGTATCTATGTCACCTTTAGCTGTTATTAAAATGCTGTTTTTATGTTTAAATAGAAAATAAAATCTTCTTATCACCTCCTCTTATAAATGCCTTGAAATTGGCCTCTGTCTCTTTAAGAGCCACCTTCTGCTGCTGTCCCACCTGGGGGGGCTGCTATGATACAGTTTACTTGGCATCTGAAAATACATTTCCTCAAAGGTATTTTTAATCTGAAAAGAGCTTCACTGAGTGAGAACTAAAATTGAGAGCTCAGCAGTTTAAGTTTCACTTTCACTTTCACCCAAGAACCTGCAGGAGTCATGGGCGGGGTGTGTGGGGAGGGGGGGAGGGGGTGCACCCTGCCATGAGGAAGTTCGGCTTAAAGACACGTCCCAGGGGCGTTTCTGCTACCAAAAGGCGTTTCTGGTCCCCACCTGTCGTTTTGCTCCTCAGCATGGCTTCCTAAAAACGCTGCAGGATTTCTCAAACATACATGAATGAGTCAGAGCAAGGCTTTGGGCATGTTTTTTTATGAGAGTGTAACATTATAACATGATGTAAAACTCAAAAAGTTGATTTTACATGATATTGCCCCTTTAATATTATTTTTAAAATTTGAACAACAAAAGTTCAGATCTGGTACAAGAATATGATCAAATATCAGTTTTAGTGATGTTTTCATAAAAGGTTTTTTGCAGTGCGTTTTATTCCATTTTTTCATTCAGATAAGACACAAACAAGCAACTAAACCCAAAACTGGTTTCTTTTAATCAAAACACTCTCTCAGGCCWAGGCTGCAGTRGCAGCAAACAAGTGAATAATGCTTTTTAACCAGACTGGTAAAAAAAATATTAAATCAAGGCTACAAAGCTTGAGTGACAGAAGCTGCTCCTGCTCTCAGTCAGTTAAAACAAAACAACTATAGAAAACAGGATTTTGTGTCCCCAAGGTTGCATGTATTTGTCAGAGATTGTGACTCATGCTGTGAATTCAGCCTTAAGCAAAAAAAAAAGAGAAGAACCCTTGCCTTATTAATGAATAACATGCGTCTGAGGCTGGATTGGATAAAGATGACTAAGATTAAAGGAGCTGAACTTGATTTTATTTCTTAGAAAAGCAAGTCCCTCTGCCRCTTTAATAAACAATCTTTGTAGAGTGCTGCAATGCAAGTCAGGGGAGAATATTTTTTAAAGTTTAAATAAAAGCAACATTTGTTCTTAGTGGTTCTCAAACAGAAGCAGCAGTGATCAGGGTGGCAACAGTGTTGGTGCTGAAGGATGTGGAGAATATTTGTTTAAACTTTACATTCATGTAAATATTATTTGAACAAAAATTACAACACAATAACATATAACATTGTCTTTTGTCTSTCCTATCTTAAGCCCAAATAAAAATCTAAAGTTTCTAAGTATTTAGATTTTCCCACTTAATAGTTAATTAAAAATGTACAGGCATGGACAGGGGGCTAATAGCCAATTAAAATCAGTGTGTTGATTAATTGGTCTACCTGCACATATAAAGCTGTTTGGCCATATAAACCAGTTGAAGATGTTGACCAACTGATTTGAACCGGTCAGACAATTTTCTTTGGCTGATATTTTACCACTTTTTAAAATTAGCCATCAGTCGTGGTCTTTCTCACTCAATCAGTCAACTCCGTTAACCAGTCTGTAGATTATACGATATATTTCCAAACCAAACTCCCCTCTCTCCATTCTGACTACTTAATACTTTTGCAGAGTCCCTTATCTCATAAGGAAAAGTCAGGAACAGATATATCTGAGGGGGAAAACTTACCCCTTGGAGTTAGTGCAACAAAAACTAAGCACAAAGATGTATATACGTCCATTATGGCTTTAGTAGTATCCAGCTTTACGACTAAACTTCCTCCAACTTCTTCTGTTCTTTAACCAAGGTGGTCAGTCATCCTGGAAGTGACCAAACCTAGAAAAGAGTGTTGCAACAGTTTCCCCCAAAAAGGTTCAGATTAGGTTAAACAGCCAGAAAGAGAGGTTTTGTGAGTCTGTGTGAGCTGAAGGTTCTGGTCCCTCTGCCTGTTCCRTCTGTCCATCCTTTCAGCTGCCTTTCCGTGCGGTCACAGCAGAGTGGAGGACCACTGTCATGAAGCATGTCGCTCCTGATCCAACTCCGAGAGGTCCCTCCTCGTTCCACTGGAGTCTTTCAACCAAGTGAGGCTCATCCCTCTCTTCTCCACCCTCCCTTTTCTACACGACTCCCTCCCTCCTCACCTCATCTACCTCCCTCTCCCTTTCTGTCTCTCTCTCACATAAAAACACACCTTCATCATTGCGTTCTCTCCTTCCCACTTCACTGCCTTCCTTTCTGCTCCAGAATGTCTGTTTTCTGCTTTTTTCTACTAAAAATAATGAACTTTTTTGACAGTCCTTGTATATCCGTGAGAGAGAGGGAAACAAAGRTCTTCTTATCAGTGTGCACCTGAGCCATGCAGGTTTTTTTTTTTTTTGGATGTTCTAATGTGCATGCAGCCAGCTACCTGTCAAGGTCCGGTGTGGAAAAAAGCTCCAGTGAGTCACRGAAGCTGCTCTCTTCCGATTCCTCTCAGCACCGATTCCCAGGAGCACATCAACTCTGCTCCTCCCTCTCCCGTCTTAACCCTACTCTGACCCTCACCTGCTGTCAGTTTTCTTTTCCTCTGTTTAATGTTTCACACACACACATTTTTCTTTCTGTGCAGGCTSTCTTCTCCTTCTCTACAGTGTTTTTAACGGCAGCATAGTTTCTTCCAAGGCTGCTCGTCTCTTTTTATCACCCGACTGAGCTGAAAGGCGAAAGTGGAAAGAAAGAAAAATATGGCCACCACAACTAATCAACTTTAGCCAACGAAACAGCAGCTATACCTGAGCTATTTCTGTGCAACTATGCAGCGACATTCAGCAAGCATTTTGTGTTGAAGAAGCTGAATGTACAAAAGAGCATTGCATTCACCAAAGGGAAAAAAAGACTTCTGATCTCATAATTATCAGATTCGGATCTCATACGTATGAGTGAAGATCTCATAATTAAGGGATAGAATCTCATAAATCCTTAATCCCAAAAAACATGTAATAGGTTGCCTTCAGGCCAAAGGCCACGCTTGAAAAAAAGATCTGCGATCGCAACAGTGTTGTATAAACTACCTCAAAGTGATACTTGAGAAAAAGTACAAGTATCTTATCATAAAAATACCTTGGTAAAAGTTAAAGTCTTCTCTAAAAATATTACTAGAGTAAAAGTCTTAAAGTACCTGATATGTTTTGTACTTAAGTATCAAAAGTAAATTTCTGACAGAAAATCTACTTAAGTATTAAAAGTAAAAGTACTGAGTAAAAGTGAGCAGTTAGATTTTCCAAAATAACATTTATTGGGAGGTGACTTCTAAAAAAAATTTTTTTCTAACGGCGTGCAGCTGTGATGGGTTGTGTACAAGCTAATATGGTGTCAGAATGGTTTATATTTATACTTCTCATCAAACCTATATTAAATTCACTCTATCCAGGAGACACAATTTATCAGGATAGTATTTATTTAAATAAATCGGAATAAAACAGGAGTAACGACTTTCTACTTCTTACCTTTTTAAAAAAATGTAGTGAGTAGAAAGTACAGATAATTGTGTAAAAATGTAGTGAGTAAAAGTAAAAAGTACGCTGAAAAATAATTACTCAAGTAAAGTACAGGTACCCAAAAATTCTACTTAAGTACAGTGACAAAGTATTTGTACTTAGTTAGTTACTTTACAACTCTGCATCTCAATGGGATTTGCCTGGATAAATAACGGCAAAATAAATAAAAACAAATAAAAAAGAGAAAAGACCTGATAACTATGGTATRTGATCTCATAATTACGAGAAAATATCTCAGTACGAGAAGATATAATTACGAGATAAGCTATCATGATTATGATGAAAGATCTCATGATTACGAAATAAGATCTCGTGATTACGAGATAAGATCCCATAAGTAGGAGAGAAGATCTCATAATTACGAGAAAAAATCTCATAATTACAAGAGAAGATGTATAAAACTGGAAAGGTGCCATTTACTGGCCACTGCTGGACAATCACTGCACAACAGCAGGGAGGTAAGTTATCAGCTTGATCCTTCCAAAACAAAGCCTATAATTTAAGGGACATTTGTTGCAAGTAGACTTAAATCTAATGGTTTTACTAATGTGCTTTTTCTTATCTCAAAACTATGGCATCTTATCATAATTATGAGGACAGTATCTTGTATATAAGATGAGAATCTCATAGTTTTTCAGATTCTATCTTGTACATAGGAAATCTTATTGTGACTTATTTTTGTCTCATAGTAATTATGAGGACTGGATTTCATAATTACAAGATTTACAAGATCTGTTTTCCTTTGGTGAATGCAATGCTTTTGTGTATACATATTATGCACAACACGTACACCAAGTGTTTACAGATAATGCAAAATGATTACATGAGATGATGCATAATGTGTTTTTTGTCAGGGTTGGATCAAAAATATCCACCACTGTAATTTCTCAACAGAAAATTAACCAAGCAGCAGGTGACATTGATCGTTCAAGAAATGCTAGGCCTTCAATTCTTACAATGTCTTTACATTTTTTTTGCACTTTTTCTCCAGGATGTCATGTTTGATGATATAAAGAACTAAAAAGCTTTAACATCCTCGACTCTGCAGTCGTGTTTACTCGGCAGCGAGAAGCCGACCTCCTGAAAGACGGTACTTTTCTGATGGTGTTACATGACTGAGAAACAAAAGAAGGTCTGGATGGAGGTTGATTTTGCTGTCGTAAGTGGTTTGTGTCAGATCTGCTTCTTTCGATGCACAGATATAGTTTGTTTCGATCTGATGGTGACTAACACTGACCGAACTGATGAAGGCAGTGTTCTCACTTGTTTTCCGATGCTTATTTGTCCCATCAGAAATACGATTGTTGTTGAYTCGGTTAGACTGCCGACAGGAGTCTTGCAGGAGTTTGTAAGTGGGACAGCACAGCATCAGGGAGCGGAGGGGAGCCAGAAGAGCAAATTTCACTTTCATTAAAAGGGCAGAAAGCACAAATAGGCCAATATAGCCTCTCGGCCGACAGACTAGTTTATCTCACACCCACATGTGGACACACAAGTGCTCCCTCGGATGAAAAGAACCATCTGCGCTTCACTGAGTTTCGACTGATGAAGGAGGATCTCAGGTGGCAGGGGTCACTTTCCGCAGCAGCATCGCCTTAATAATTCAACTAGTCCTGATATTGGAAAACCTGCACTGATCCCCAAACAGATATTTATTTGACCTCTGCCTGAGATGGCCACAGCTTAAACACACTTGTTGACCGATGTTGAAAAGCCTTTTCGAAATCTTGCCATCGGCTATTCGAGTCATTTCTGTCTGACGTAAGTATCAGGAACCAATGGATGAGTTTTAATGAAACTCTCAGAAAACAAATCACGATGGTCACCACAGCTAATCAACGTGAGCAAACACAAAAATTATTATAATTCAATCAGTTTAGATGTTGAGGAAAATTTTTGAGGCAATAGTTGAGAGTCATCTGCATACTGTATTTACTCTGAGCCTTAACAGATCACACTTTTTTTTTTAGAAAAGGGCTTTGTACAATAAAATATTTAACAGTATTTAATATTGCAAACCCACATTGTCAGTGACTGCAGGAATTTTGGACAAATCTATAGTTGCTTACGTCACTGGGAGAAAAAAAAAACCCAAAAGCTTTCTCTGGTATGGACAGAAGTAGTTTATCTCTAACTGCATAGACATGGATGACAAAAAGGATGCTGGCTGGTGAGATACAGATGAAATCATGCAGCAGTGAGTGGTCAGTGGGGGATTGAATCATATGTGAGAGCAACATTGCTGAAAAGTTCCCAGAATTATGTGAAGCATCTGGTGTATTGATTGGAGTGTGTTTCAGCTGAAGGCAGCCTCAGTGAGGAGAACTCCCTGAAACAGCCCCAGGTTCTGAGTTCATCAGGTCAGCTTTCACTCAACACCACATGTTCCACCGCAGTGATTCACACACGGCTCCTTTTTACCTGCAGAAACCCACACAAACATGAGGAGGATGCAACCCATGCATGCATAAACCCATTGCCCACAAGGGTTGCCAGGACAATCTGTCAGTCATAAACCCGTCTCAAGTTTTCCTGGATTGTTTGCAGGAAATTAAAGGATTTCCCTGAAGGGATAACAGACGTCTTAAATATTAATAACACAGTTGTCACAGTTCTAAGTTTACTTGGAGAACAGAGCCAATTTGGATACAAAAAGCAGCTTGAGGCGGTGAACAGATACTGAAGCCATCCTGAATGATGCCATCAGTGGCAAATATCGCCGTTTTTGGACGTAGACCATGAACTCACCTGCAACAGCTGCAGCGCTGAGGTGAGATGGCCACTGAGCAGGAATCAACACAAATGGGGCATCTGCTCACTACACACACACTCACACACACACACAAACACGCACGCACGCACGCACGCACGCACACACACACACACACACACACCTTAACTAAATATCCTCAAGCACATAATTTTTGCTGTTAATTTAAATTTTATTTTTTAAAATATAACTTTTGAAACACAGCAAGGAATTTATTTATAATGGAAAAACTTCTTGAAAACTCATGCATGTTTTGTTCTGTTGCTGCCCCTGAGATCAATATAGTTTATATTACAGTAGGGAAAAAAAGACACAAACAACAATAAACCTAGTGCTGCAAATACTCCATCCTCATTATCATTGCATTATGACAGGAGGTCATAAGTGCCGAATCAATAAAAGTAATCATATTTATATTATCAGCAGAATCCTTTTAGCACATCATACATTTCAGTACATCACTTTAAGATGACATACTTCACATTTTCTAATAAATATGCCACATACAAATATTATATTGTACCCATAACCAAAACAKGAGATTTCCTAAAATGTTGAGTGTACTATTTAAAATGTAAGAATTACAGTACATAAAGAAAATGATCTGTTTTTCAATATTTTGGATATCATAGTAAACTCCCAAACAGTTTTTAAAAATATGAATTAGCAC